AATCAGGAGAGCTTAAGTGATCATGAAAGAAGTCATAACACATTAAACTCCTGCCCTGTACAAATTACTCATAACTTTCGTGCTTGATAATAAAAAATTGGATACTTCACCCAAAAAAAGTATATTTTTAGGTCTGAAGGATACCTTTCCCATAGAGCCTTCACCCAAAAACATAGACAAATCAAAGTTGTTTGTTGCTTCCTTCAACTGTTCAAGTGAAAATATACGACTTACTGAGGCACTGTGTGTCTCTAATTTCGCTGCTTCAGATATGAATCCTACAAAGGGTAGAGCACATATGTTACCATCTTAAGCTTTCAAAGGTACTAATAGATTTCAGAGCATAAAGTTGACATTATACTTTTATGAAAAATCATGCCTTAGGTTTGGGGCACGAGGAATAATAACAATATAATTTGATTGATTTACAACTTACTGGCATTTGCAATGAGCTCAGAGCAAAAACCATTTGGTGAATTATCTGGCACAGCCTTTGCAAATATGTTGTGCTCAAATGTCCTTGAACGGTATCTTCTACGAAAGGAAAGAACCGCAAATGCCAAAAGTACTAAAACAAGAACAGCTCCGCTGATAACACCAACTACCATAACAGTTTCTCTTCCTCCAGATTGTTTGCTGCTTGCAAGAGCCTCTTTACAATATGAAGCCTGATGCTGGTGTTGAGAATCAATTGAAAAACAATTTCCATTGAACTCAACAACTCTCTCATTTGAAGTACTACTCAGGCAAGAAGGAAGATCACCTGTTAACTTGTTATTAGAGATATCAACAAACCCAAGTTTACCACCACAATTTAGTTGGTCAGGGAATGCTCCACTCAGCATATTAGATGCTAAATTCAGATAACTGATGTTCGGCAAAGAGAACAAAGCAGAGGGTGGTGTTCCGCTGAGATAATTGAATGATAGATCAAGGTGCTGAAGCTGACCCAAATGACCAAATTGTGCAGGAATCTCTCCTGAGAATGAGTTCTTGCTAAGAAGGGCTGTAACCAATCCTTGGGGCATCATTGGTAGTTCAGAATCTATATGATTTTCTCTCAAATCCAATACACGCAGGCTGATTAAAGTATCCATATCGGGTAAATTTCCAGAAAGCTCATTGTTAGACAAGGCAATGACAGTGAGTGTCTTGATTCTGCATATTGAAGAAGGAAACCGACCCTTCAATCGATTGTTCTTCAAGCTCAAAATAGTGAGATTTGATAACGAGTCCAACCAATCAGGGACAGTATCATTGAAATAATTGTCCTCCAGTGTTAGAGTGTGAAGTTTGACCATTGTAGATATTTTTGGCGGAACAGAACCAAATATGAAATTTGAGCTCAAGTCTAAGAATTCAAGTGAAGATAACCGGTGAATCTTATCAGAAAGTGGTCCCCAAATCCCCAAAGACACTAAGCTAAGAACCCTCAAGCTAGGTAGCCTTGACAATGTGGTAACAAAAGAATCAATTGAGAAACTCTCAGACAGAGTATGATTGGGAATTGCAAAACCATTGAAATCATTGACATTAAAAAGCTTATCTCCCATAATTTTCAGCTCAGTGACTGAGTCGTCCTGGCATGAGATGCTCATATGCGCAGAGGAAGACAGGTTACAGAAGTCTCCATAGTAATTTTCCCAAATTTCTAATGAGGAAGGGTACTCTAAATGTTTCCTTAGTTGCAATAAGACTTGGCTCTGAGAGGTTTGTAATTCATGGGTACTTGGAAGACACAAAACCCATGACAGAATTACTGAAATTAACAAGTAAAAAAGTCTCATCGTACAAGTTTCAAGCTCTAACCTCTACTCTCTCTCTTTTTTCATAAAGCTGGAGCCTGGACATAAACAGCTGAACTAAAGCTGGACTATGAACTTCAGGGTAGCGTTAACAATAACAGGCCCATAAATTTTTACGGAGTCTGTACAAAAGAGAGCTCCATAAAAAAGTTCACCTAGAAAAAAACAGTATTTTGCGGTGAATTTGGACAAGGACCAAGAAGAAATCTCATGAAACCAAGGGATGCATCCTAGCTCTGAACTCCCAAGTCCTCATCAAAGTGTTTTATGAATTTTTCCTTAGTGTCCCAATTCCTCCTTGCAAATTGAACTGGGTACGTTTCCTGGATAATGTAGAATGCTTGAACAAGTTGGTTAAAAGCCCATGACATGGAGAAACAACAACTCTAAGTATTAATCATCCAAAGGATTTTCACAAATAGAAAAAAAAGTGGGAGATAAATGCAGATGAGTGAGGTAAGAGACAAACCTTGAAAGGTGGAAGTAAAAACCATTAAGAGCCAAACTATTGTTCTTGGTCAGTGAATGTGTGTGGCAAATTATGACAAGCGGCGCGGCTATTATGGAAGGAAGGAGGAGGTGGTTGGTTGGATGGAAAAGGCCGTACAAGACAGTGTCAGGGCATTTAATTGTGGTTTTTCTGTGGGAGGGGAGAGACTGACAAATGACAATTAATGGGGCCGATTCTCTGAGAGAGACAAATCCAAGTGGGGCAAAGGCTGTATCTTTCTGTGTGTGTGTGTGTGTGTGTGAAGGTTGAAAGTGGAAACAGTGGCAATGGGGAGGCGCTGCGGTGGCCACTGGAGCTGTAAACTTTATAAAAAAAATATTTAAAAATAAAAATAAATAGAGATTTATGGGTTTTGGTTTTTGTTGTTGATGCTCGTGGATTTTCTAACACTCCGCTGGTAATTACGGTATATCGGCGGCATCACATGACACATGGTTTTTCCCTCTCTTGGTGGCTTGGCATGGCATTTGATATAGGTTTCATATGACCAAACTGACCCTGCTTCTATGTTCTTTCTGGTTTACCGTATTTCCGTTTAAGAATTATCACCGGTAACAGTCACACAGCTTTTTAGTTCTAATGACTGTAAAGTAAAATAAACAATGGATGTAAAAGAGGGGGGTTGTTGGGAAATGGCTGGTTTTCTGGGCCCGTTTTCAAATCCACAGGCTATTTTGAATGCAAAACCACGTTGCTGCAAAGCTGTACACTTTAGAATCCCATGAAACTCTGATTACAATAATGATTATAATAACATTACTTTATTATTAGCGCAAGAAAGAAGAGGAAGACGAATCACTCACACCCACCCATCACCCATGTACATTACTTGCTTGCTTACTTACTTCAAATGAGAAAATCATAAATCGGAAAAATCTAGAATAAAAAATAAGGGTGTACTATGTACAACAATCAATAATCTAGTTTTTCTTTTTCTTTTTGGGTATTAAATTATAAATTTTAATTTGAAACTTGCATTACATATTCGATATCAGCAGTTGGTGCAGTGGGTAAACAATAAACTTAACAACACCTGCCAATAAGAAGGCAATTCTATGCTTTTCTGCACTGCTCATCCTCTTTGGTTAGCCATGCCCATTAAAGCACCTTGGAGTTTCCACAACAAACAGTCTCAGTCTCTGTCTGTACTCTCTACTCTGTATGTATGGTCGTTTAATTAAAGTCTGATGATTCTCTTAAAGCAGTTCCATGGAAAAGCAAGCCATTGTGTCTTTACATTTTGGAATAAGACCAACTTTTTAACTTTTGACTAGTTTTTTCTTTTTCTGGTTTGCGCCCGACAATAATCTAAAGGATGATAAACACTTACATTTTGATATTCCCAACCAATTATGTTATGCTAATTTATCCACCAAACAGTCTGTAATTGACCGAAAATAACAAAACAATGTTATTCCAATTTTTCTACTAAAGCAGAGGATGAATGAATGCCTATAAAAGGAAAATATCAGGGGCTGGCTGGGAATGAAAAAGCCGTGCCCGTGAGAGACAGGACAGCTGCGTGCTTCGCTTCAGTGAGTGCTTTTCTTCTAGAAAATGAATCTAGGATTTATCAACATTTGGCATCATTAGCATATTAATATGACTTTTCCAAACATTCAATTTGCCTTTGCCACTACCTCTATATCTAGACAAGTTTAATCATATGCATATTATATTAGTCAAAGTAAAAGTAAAGACAGATTGGGTTCCATTATGAGCACAAGTCAGACAGAAACAAACAAGCATAAAAAGGAGTAAGTAAGCTCTTCTTTTCAGGCAACTCCATTGCAAGTTTCAGCCCCAACTCCACTCCACTTCCATGTGAGTCAGAGTGAGGAACTGAAGCAACCATTCTATAATTTTGTATAATTAATATGAAAAAGAGGAAGAGAAATGCAACTGTGTGTGACATTTTATGTCGTTTATTGTGTAAACTGGGTCAAACTTAATATTAATTCCCGAGTTAAAATTACGACATAGCAACAAATTCCCGTAAAAATTGTCTTTTGAAACCAAAAGGACAAGGCACATTTCGACCAAAAAAAAAAAGAAAAGGACAAGGCACTCTGGGAGACCAGAATGGAAGGCCATTGACGTTGATGAACATACGAAAAGGGGCCAGGAGGATACCCCCATACCACTACTGACTAAGCCAAATTTCTTGCAACAATTTATAGGCCCATCTTTCCCATCCCCACCGCCTTCTCTTTCGTGACAATCATTAACCCATGCATCAACTGCAACCCTACCAAGTACCAACCATGACTTGGCACTTTCAAGGAGCATTAGGCGCCCATATTTTACTCCAGAAATTAAAAGAAAGAAAACATACCCAAAATAGGTCATAAGAGGCAACGATCAAACTACGGATCATGCGTCAACTTCGCAATTCAAAGACTAGCTCCTTCAAATTTGTGGGAAGGGAACCACATTGGCCTTATTAAGAGCAATAATCAACTGGATGTTCAAGCTTAACCACATTGGCCTTATTAAGAGCAAAAATCAACTGGATGTTCAAGCTCTCTCTTCTAACTTCTAAAACAAATTGCCCCTCTCACGTTGGACCACAATTGTAAGCCACTGTCACTGCACAAGGACCACATATAGGCCCTCCAGAAATCAGCGTGCAATGGATATCTACTGAGAAAACATCAAACACACAAAATCTAAGACGTCTCCGTACGAGGATATACTTCTCATTTCCAAAACGATCATCCTTCGTGACGTGTCTTCTCATCTGAAGGAGATTCCAGATAGGAGATTACAAGCTCAGCTGCTTTGCATCCAGAAGCTATTGATTTACCAACCGACAGTCCACCCCTATGGTTACCTGCAATATTCAGAATTTGTACACCACATATACCAAATCATAAGGGGCACCACTCAGCCAGCCTTTTCAGCCAGCCGAAGAGTGAAAATCATCACTCATTCAGATCTCTAATTTTGGGTGAGTTATTTACCTGCATAGAAGAACCCAGGAAGATTTTTCTCCATATTCTCAATTGCTTCTATAACTGAATCATAGTCACGCCCATACAATGGAAATGCTTTGCTCCAGTAGAAATGGCTGCCATTGAGTGTACTTCAAGCTATAAGATAACTATCCAATTTATTGGTAAACACGGGCTCTTAAAATAGAATATATAACAGAAATGATTATATACTTCACAAATGTCGGCTCGCCTTCTGCTCCTAACAAGTGCCTAATGTCAGAGGTAACAATTTGCTTCAATTCATCCCTAGATCAAAAGTCAAAAGAAGAAAAGTATTAGCCACATAACATCATAATGTGCGCATCTGTCTCTGTGTGTGTGTGTGTATGTGTGTGCGTATGTGTAAGTGAATAATTTAGTATTAATCACACAAATATGAAGGACAAAGAACATGGCTGTGGTACAAAATTAAAAGTACTGAAGCTTCCCATACGTTGAAGCTTTTGCTAGTTCCTTGTTTCGACTTCCCCCAACAAAGGTAGTATAAAGATATAGGTCACTGGGTGCACGATCAGGAAACATCATGGAGGAAAAGAGAGTACCTGTACAGCAGACATACTAACCATATTAGGATAATGTGTCAGTTATTCCGTGTCACTGAGCCATAGCCAAGCATTACCAAGAGTTTTTAAGCCGTTTTTCTGCTCTTTAGAGGGAACAAGAACTCCAAACCCCTCAAGGGGTCTCTTAACATTTTCCTTCTTGAAGGTGGTTATGATCACTGATAATGGCATATAAACCACCTGGAATATCGACAGCAAAAAATAAGATATGCTATGACAAGTGCTTGTTCCGCAACTTCTTTGCCAGGCTTAGTGTTGTTCCAAACTTCCAATCATAAATGGAAAGGAAAACGGATATAACCAGCCATGCATACATGTTGAAATTAAATGTCATAAATACCTCAGGAATAAAATCAAGAGGGAAGCGGGTTCCTCTTTTCGTGATCTTCATTTCTTTGACATTGCATAGCGGAGCCTATGACAGAGAAGAAACCTGGACAATTAATATTATATTCCTTCCATAAAGTAATTGTTACATGAAGAATGGAAGGGAAGGCATGTGCTTGCATAGACAAGCCAGAAAGAGCAATTACAGTCCAGCATCTATAAATGAAAATTTTAAAGTTCACTTGTATATTAAATCATAGGACACAGTGAAATTGAATCCCTTGTGAAATATTTTCTTCTATTGGCAGAACTTGGTCATGCACCCATGCAAGCATGATGCATCTAATAACTTCAATGGAGCAGTTGAAACACATCTGCTGTTTACTCTTCCAGCTCTGCCTTGATTTGTTCCAAAACATAAATGTTTTCGGATAGTAACCATGCCAGATGCACAAGGCATGCCTTGTTAAGCATGATGACAACCAACATCTGTCCCAATGAGAAAGTAAACAAACCACCAAATTCATGTTCTTAAAATAATAAATAGACTAACCGTCATGATTACAGCATCTACAGATAAACATTGTGAATGCTTGTCATCGTCAGCAACACGGGAAACTGACCAATTTTCTAATGCAGAGTTCCCACCCTGACGGTAAGATAGTGACAAAACCTTTGAGTTCAGTTTAAGCTTATCTTTTTCAAGCTGGTTGCACAAGATATCAGTGAGTGTCTGCACTAAACAGAAAAAGGAAACAAGGGTAAAGCATTTAGTTTTGGAAATAAACAATATGCCACACAGATCTAAACCAAATGTTTTTACAATTAAAGTTCTAACTTTAATAGGAAAAACATAACAGGATAAGAGGAACATTCTACATAAGGTACCGTCAGGAAAAACATGAAAATTACAAAAAACTGTTATGAACCATGAGGAAGGAAAGTAGCCCAATAAAATGGCACCTGCATTCCACCATGAAATGAAAATGAACCACGCTGACGCTTCCCTTTTTCTACGGAACCCTTTGTTTCTCCACTTTTTCCCTTGCTGGCAGATAATTTTGATTTAATTGCCCCAGATATAACAGAACCAAACCTGATAAAATAGTGAACTTGTTGGTTATCAACATAGATCAACAGACAAGCATCAACTACTGAATATTTTTAGAAAATTTTAATTGTACTAATCACACCTAGTTCACTATAAATATTAACATAAGCAATGATTCTTCTTTGCTTAAAAAAAAAAAGGAAATATGTGTATAGAACATACCTTTTCTCTATATTCCATATATCTGGAAAAGAATGGCGCATCTGTTTGAAAGATCAGAAGGCAACACAAAAGTATTATTGAAGACATAAAAAAATGATTAAGACCAACAGCTCCATGTTGTAACCCACGAAATGACACATGAAAAAGCACAAAAGCCCATAATTTCTGGTATTGTGAAAGCAAAGTTCAGTTTCTAGGTTTCAACCTTGACCAGACTTGTGAGATAGATACATGGAAAGAGCAGAAATACAGATTTTCAGGTAACAACTGATTAGTTAAAAAACAATCATATTAGCTACTCCATGTGAAATATGCACAAGTCACCAAAGACTGAGATATTACTCACAGAAAGAGATTCGGGATCTCCAGCACTTGTTCCAGCAACAAAGGGGTCAATGAGATAATCAACAACCTTACAAGCAAAAGTGACAAAATAGTATTAAGAAAACGCAATAATAATTTCAAGAACAATTACAAGGATTTTTACATTCAAAAGACTTGATGTTTAGTAAAATATTGCAATGCAACATGTACCTCTTCCCCAAAATGACGCTGAAAAAACCCACCCACACTGCAGACGATAAGCAAAACACAAGAAGAATATTACAAATTAACAAAGAAATAATAGAGAAGGTGGAAATGCAAAGAATTTTAATGAGATAGAGAAGACTACTACCTTTCTTCGGTGTGATCATTAGAAACTCTTTTGTCCTTCCACAAATATGGCTCTAGAATAATTTGCAGCTGCAATACAGAAATGCAGATTGAATTTGATGCATATGCACAAACAAGATATTTTGCATAAAATCTGTTAAGTGCCAAATAGCATTGCAACATGATTAAATAACAAGGAAACTAACTTGTTGGGCATGCCGTACATTGTAGAAAACTAACCTTTGATTGCGCTGAAAGAAAATTGCTCTTGATCAGAGCGATTGGATTGGTAGGTATCTGATGTGAAAAATGGAGCAAAAGTGATGGTCAGTGTCAGAAACAGCCAACTATGTAAGGAAGTATAAAAGCAAAAAATAAAAGAAAAAGTATTCATATGCCTTCCTAAATAACCATTACAAGATGCAAACTCATGTAGCAATATAGATGAAACAAGCAATACATACATACCAGCACAGGTGATCCATTCCTCACAATATAACGCTTGTTTTGTGAAATTGGCTGTACCATTGGACAACGACCAATTTAATCAATATAGCAATAGAAAGATCAGTCACTGCCATCTTTCAAACTAAGTTTGAAGCTACAGCACATTTCTTTATAATTCAAAGCTCTAGCAGTCAAGAGTATTCTAGGTAGCTGAAACTAATGTTACAGGACGCGACACTATTACCACACAAACTACACTATATGTGAAACTACAAATGAAATCAAATCCTTACAAATTGTTGCTTTTCTCGAATTCCAAGACAATCAAGCAAAGTCTGGACCTCCTTTTCACTCTGAGTCTGCAACAGGGCAATAAAACCTCAACGTCAGTATGCAGTCATCAGTGGCTGATTCAGGATTCGATATCCGGCTGGGCGAAACTTACATTAAAAGATCAATGTAATGAGTGAATCTCATTAATAAACATAAAAATATACACCTAGTAGGGGGGGACATAATGAGTCTTACCCTCAAATGCATCTCCATACATAAATAAAAGTTTAGCCCCAAGAAAAAAAAACAAAAACAAAAAAAAAAAACTTTTCTTTTTCTTTTTTTTTTAAAAAAAAATTCCAACAAATTCTTTGTTTTCTTAGGGTTCAAATTGTGATCGGACATAACAAAAGATAGTCTATTTAATCCAACATTCCAACAAAAAATCAAATAAATTCTCATAATTGCATCAATGCCTTTAATCAAACAGTAACATACCAACAACAAATCAAACATCTCAACAAAATTCCAAAAATCAAAGACCTAATTAATTTCAACAAAGTCAGCAAATCATAATTCATTCTTAAGTAAACCTTAGAATAGATTAGAACACATAACTTCTAACCTATTTAAAATATATTAGATTCAATGTTGTCATATACAACATCTTAAAATTTGGAGGTAGGTAATTAAAGAGAAGATAATTAAAGAGGAGAGAAATTTTAGGTTATGCATGCATGTGGGTTGCTTTTTGGGTGGGCATAGGTTTGTACGTTTCACAAGGGTTGGCCTATTACATATGGGTATTTTTTTTCTTTTTGAAAAATTTGGAGTAGGCAGCCGCCTACCTTGCCCTGGGCGTAGGACCACCCCTGGCAATCATAATAAGCATTCATGGTTGCCCAGCATTGATTGAGCTACAGAGCATAAATTAACCCTTCAGTAAATTACAAGTAACAAAATTCACCATTGTATTTGCTCCTTCATCCCAAATCAGACCATCATGTGAAACACTTCTCAGCTTCCCTCCAGCTCTTCCCTCAGCTTCAAATACCGTGACGTCGAAACCGTGTGATTTCAGTTTGTAGGCTGCAGCAAGCCCGCTTGAGGAATTGTAACATAAATTCAAAAGTCAAAATTTGGAGGAAAATGGAGAATGACAAAACATATTATACCTGACACGCCTACTTAGTAAAAGCTGCAAAGAAAATATTAAGCAGCATACCTTACACCAGCACCAACAACAGCTACTCTTTTAACAGAGCCTGAAAACCCCACAGAAAATTGTCATTCTCATTACAAGGTTGATAACAAATGCATATATTGTAATTTTGCATATGGATTTTTCCTCATAGTGTTCCAGACAGACAGCGAGAGATTACTCTGTTCACCTTCCTTGGTAGTTAATGAGGTCATTTGCACTGCTGCTCCTCTCTCTCTCTGCGACTCGAAACCTTCACAAATGAAATGGTCGGCTCGTTAAGCCGTTATGGTAGAGACGATATAATGTAACTGGAGTGGGCCAGTTAATAGTATTGTAACTAAGGGCAATTACAAGTGGGTCTGGCTATTTCGCCCAATGCTTTTTAATTGGGCTTTCTAAGGGCTTAAAGCTTAATGGACTAAGATAAGACAAACTATATTGGACGTCGCAAGTTCAACTAAGCAACCTAACCCAATTTCACACAAGTGTTTCTTCCGTAGTAGGGCACCCCAAAGAGAGCAAGTCAGAATTACAAGCTCGAGCCGCAACTGAAAGAAGGGGATGAATCCAAACTTGAATTTATGTTATCCATGTCCCCAATAAGCTATAGCATCTGTCATAAACTTGCCTTAGCTTATTATAGAAAGCCTAAGTGGTTATTCCTTAATAATAATTAGGAATTGGGAAAACGTCATTGATATGAGAATTTAATAATAATAAAATTAATTTAGGTCAGTTGACGATGACAATGAATCCCTTGCATCCAACTAGTAAGGAGCCAATGAAGGCACTAGCCCCCACTGAGTCTTGTTCTACATCTATAAGGGTGCCAAATTTTCATGATATCTTATATTGAATGGGGGCAAATTGTTTGATAAAATGCCTCAAATAAGGTTAAGGCAGGACAAGGGGGCAAAGGAATGGCTATGCATTAGGCAAGACTTTACAGATTGTTGATAGGCCTCATTAGCCAATGTAAGTCAGGCCAGACTTTACAAATTCTTGCCCCTAGAAAGGAATCCGACGGTGCACCCGAGTTCTTTGCTTGCTTTAGATAATTGCGTACTTTGGAACAACACATTCCTTAAGGTTTCCTTGAGTGATCATTAATTTATAACAACAAAAAGTCATCCATTTTCATATGTAACAGTGAGACCCCACTAGAAAATTATACAAAGATCACAGTATGGCGTGCCTTTATCAGACATAGGTTTCCCACCAATCTTTATTCCATCATTTCCCCGTGTTTTGAACGATTAATTAATCAAGGATTTCCACTCCTTCAAGCATCCCTCCTTTTGTTAAAAACATGTTTAGCTGTGGACGATTTGGTAATTAAATTTGCTAGAGTTAGTGAACTTTGAACCACAAGCAAAGCAACTTGTAAATAATTGGAGGAGCAGTTAGGGTCTTGAAGCAAACATATAGCTTCAATTCAAGATCTTACTTTATGTATGGAGAACATTTAAATTGCATCGCGCTGTTACCATTCTTTTACTTGCTCAAAATGTTAGATTAATTCATTAAAGGAAAAGCAACAAGAATTTGAAATTTGAGGTCCACGAAAGTCTTTACAATAACATTTTTTTTTTTTTTGGGCACCTGAGATATATATATATATATTTACGAATTGGTCCACATAAAATAAATATTTAATTGCAAAAGCTTTGGCGCCGATAATTTGTTTGAAACCTAATGATTTGATTTCAGTTATGTGGGGCAGAAATCTGCAATGCGAAAAATGTTTCTGGGCACTTAGCTTGAGCCTGATTTGTCCAGGGGCCAGTGGTTAGGATTAATTAGACAAAAAGAAGATTCTGAATTATGATTAATTAATTAATAACCCAAAAGAATTAGAAAGGAACAAAAGGATTCTGAATCTGAATTGGTAAAGAAGCAAAGGTAGGTGGTGGCTTATATTTCATATTGTCCCCAATTGTGGAAGACAACTTGAGTGATCTCTTCCAGTCGCCACCACCAAGATCTTGAGGGCCCAGTTACTTCAACAAGCCGATTGGAATTCCGAACGACCAGTACGACATTTTGGTGGCCACGGTCCCAAATGAAAGAGAGGTAATATGATGCCATGCTCGCGCCAGACTCGAATTTGAAACAAACCAGCTTTGATCCTAAATGAACACAAAAGTGGAGTTACAGTCATTCCTGCACAAACCAAATACGCCAATACTAATATCCACTAGCTAAAAGCAGCAGAAGTTTACACCCTAAGTAACGATAATAAAACAAATTTTAAAAGTAGATTTGTTTGGTTTGTGCAAATGAAACTCCCATATCTAATGTTAGGATATGAGAATTGAAGATGTTCATACTCATTAGTCATGTATTAATGTAATTTCATTTTCATTTCCAAACGTTTAAATCTTGAACCAAATAGATAATTAATATCACATTATAGTAATTTTCTTTGAAAGAATACCAAATGCAAGTGGTCATTTAAACAAATATACAAATCTTTTTTTTTTAGTACAAGCGATAGGGGGAGGGGAGTTTACACCAATATTAACTAGGTGTTTGAGCATACCTCTACCCACATAAATACAAGTGGAAGAACTCAACAACTGAGTTATTTCTCATTCATAATAAATATGCATTTATAAGGTGGACAGCAAAATGAACGGTTGTTGTTGTATGCTGACACTCTAAAACACCCATCCCATGCAACAAGTTAAGTCTTGTACGCATCCGTACGTACCTTCTAGGAAATTCAGAGGGGAGAAAGAACAGTAACATAACAGTATATTGCTTTACTCGCTCGATACAGTCGCCAACTTCTTCTGAGGGTCATTAAAGAGGATCACATGAAAATCTAGGAAATTCTCTATATACATACACCTTGATTTGATTTGATTTTTTTTTCGGGTCTTAAACCTTGATTTGATATATTAATTCCTAAACACGTGTATGGTCACATTATATGTCATGTCAACTATCTATGCAATTAAGAGAATTAGTGCCTCACATTTTTCACGCTTTGATATATAATTTTTTATAACAAGTACTCGTAATTTAATAAGAGACTAATTTACTCTCATCAAGGATTTAAATTCAATCTGGATTCTGGATCGAATCGTGCGGCTGAATTGTTGCATATTCGGAGACCCAAAAATTGAGATTTTATAATTATTTACATCTCCATTAACTCTCAGTACGTAGCACTCTACTCTACTGAGTACTGACTCACATTGGAATTTTACTGTTTCAGCATGGGTCGGTTCACTGTGCATGTTAACCCATTCCTTGTATTAATTGACTAAGCTTTTTCCTTTTTATTTTTATTAGGTCGTTGAATAAGCTTTTATTTTAAATAGTGTTTTATTTACACACACTCAAAACCCATTTATAAACACACTCAAAAAGTTGACTTTAGAGTTGATTTTGGGTGTGTTTCTATGTTTAAATAGTGCTTTGATTTTTTTATAAATACATGTCTAGAATTGGGTTTATTTATAAATTTATATTTAATATATAGTTGGTCCTCCATGATCAACTTCTTCTACGTACCTTAAACCGTTTTGTAATTGACATCAATACCTAGGAGGACGGGAGGAAGGAGCTTACCCAATATGGGTTGATGTTTGGATTCATTCGTGGAAGCATCTCTTTGTCACAGACTCGAAACCCTAAATTAATTAACAAATTATAATGATCTCAATAAATAAAGATCAGAAAGCGAGAGAGAGAGCAAGCTTGAAGATCCAACCAAGCAAATACGTGGTGGATATGTCGACAGCCACGTATGTCTGGGGTTCTAATTCTCCAATTTTAAAGTACACGTGTCTGCTTCGAATTGAATCTCTCAAAGCTGGCCATAAGATATTACTGTTACGAATATCTCTGACTCTGATCTCATTTCATTGAAGGCAATAAGAAGAAGGCAGTGAACCAACCAACCATGGATATTCATTTCATTGCAATGGGTAGAAACTGCTGCAAAAGAAATTACACATCTCAGAACTTGTCAGGTGGAGGTGGGGTGGAGCTAGCTGACGATGCAGCGATGCGAATAATATACACGTAACGCGAGCTTACACTGCAGAGACTGATGATGAGAGTGGATGGCCACTTGATCAACTAGATATGCCTCCTCCATTGTATATGTCCAATTACTATATAATAAAGAATCCATTTTTTGTTGTTGTCGAAAATAAAGATTCGATTTTGTAGTTAACATTTTGGCCTTGCTTGTCAGTAGACGTATAATTAACGAGTAATTATAATGTAGTATACTTGTTATAATAGAAAGTAGATATTTTAACTATATCGTTTATTCACATTATAACACGTAAATGAATTACACCACATAATTGCATTCCGATATCACACGCATAAAAGTATAAAATAAATGTAGCTTTTGTGCATTAATTAGTTAATTAATTTAATTTTTGATGTGGTCAACAAGGTGGAGCTGGCTGATAAAGTAAAAATTGTTGGTCAAAGACTGAGAAGCCAGAGGGATGGCTTCTCCAGGACTCGTATTGACTACGGATGAACTACTGTGAAAGAGACAGACAGACATGCAGTAACTTTATTCTACCACCTTTTGCTTTCACTCACTTTAATTATTAATATTATACAGTTTCAGTTTCACAGAGGTACGTAGGTACAGGATCTTGTCATTGGGACTGTGGACTGTTTACTAGCGCTGCTAAAAATCTTTGGGACATTGCATGGGTTCCCTGTGCTCGCTGTGTATCTCTCTGTATGTTCCCCATCCCGTCCCGTCCCGTGTATTATGTATGTATAGCCGTGGTGGTGAGGTTTATGGAGTGTGGCTGTGTCCTGGTATTCCGCGACACAACTTGAGCTATCTGTTATATTATTATTAGTATTCTTCTTTTAATAATTATTTCATTTTTGGCATCTATATTTACAATTCAACTCATTAGCATTGGATACTACTCATACCATGCTCCACCACACCACCAATATTGCATCCTCTATTTTTTTAAAAATATTAATTATTGATTAATAAGTTGCGATTTTTAAAATCCCATTGTTCATGTTTCAAAATTTTAAGACAAACAAATTACTATATATATTGGATCTCAATCTTCTTCTGATATATGTTTCCTTGTTGGTCTTGTTTTTTATGTATAGATTCTTATCACTAGGAGAAAGACAGAGATTGTTCCGGTTCCATTCAAACTATAATAGGATCAACACCATGAAACTCAAGACGGAATCTTAAGTATTGCCCTTTAAATTACTTTAATCAAAAGATGTATATTAATTGGTATACAAAGGCTA